GGCTCCCTGGGCCTAGTAGGCCTCTAGTGGCACAGCCCAGATTGACAACTACATATTTCAAATATAGAAGCAGAGATTAAAACATCAATATTGCAGCATTTTGGTACAGATTCTCTCTTTAAAGAACAAACAGTGACTTTCCTCAGGTTAGCGATAATCTATTAACGATTTTCAGGGGTCATTTCGTAGAAAAAGAGCTAGGGGAACTCATTAGCATAACTCATTAGCATATGCCACACCCCCTGACATCAGGGGCCCGGCGGTGGACCTGCTGCTTCCTCGTGGCTGAATGAAGGCCGGAAGCGGGGCGGCCGGAAGCGGGGGGCGGGCCTTCGTCATGTGCCCCGCCCCCCTGCACCTCACCCGGGGGAACTGTGTTCCCCCGCGTTCCCCCCCGAAATGACCTCTGACGATTTTAAAAGATTACATCTTTAACAACTGAGTGAACGTCTATGCTCAAATTAAATCATTGTAAAAACCTGAATATTTGATTTGATTTATTAAATTTCTACCCCGCCGTTCCAGCCCAGGGCGGCTTACAAAAAACAACGTAACATTTACGAAGTACATAAGATATAAGTTAGACAACATTAGTTAAAACATTTAACAATCCTAAAAGCAATTAATCCTAAAAACATAATAAAGTGCTTAATTGTTTCTCTAAATCTACAATTTTTTTTCTTACTCATTATTTAATTACTAGTAGAATACAGAATAAAGTATTGGAACTACAATCAATATCTTCATCACCTTTAATATAATATTCAGGTAATTCCAGAACTTTAAAAAACCCTAATTATACCTATAATATAAGTAATCAGCCTGCCATTTCTGCTGAAATTCTTTCAGTGGCCTTTTTGTTTATATCATTGGTTAGTTTTGCCAACGTTGTGCACTCTGCTAGTTTTTCCTTCCAGATCTCTATTGTAGGATGTTTGTTTTCTTTTTTGGAAGTATTGTGAGTGGAACAAAAGAAGGCCTTGCTTGGCTGAGCAAGGAGGGAGTGTCCGCGTTCAACCCGTTCACACTTCTGTGCATTGAGGGTGTGCTTCATCTGGCACGTTAAGCCAAAGGTGGCTTTGGAGGGGCCCGAAGGAGGAAAAGGAGGGGAGTTTGTGGCAGGGAGTTCCAAGGTCAATGAGAAGAGAAAAGTGTTTTTTTTAGAGAGCAGGAGTGCTTTGGGGCAGGTTCAGGGGAATGGAGCTGTAAAGACAAAACGACTAGGGTCTTGGGTTCGAGTCCAGTAGCAGCTTCGGGACCAACAAGATTTTGGGGGTATGAGCTTTCGAGGGTGTAGCCAATCCTCCAAGAGCTTACAGAGCTCTTCTTACTGGGGCTACTGTAAGCTCTTGGAGGATTGGCTACATCAGGGGTGTGTGGCCTATGGGATACAAGAAAAAAAGAAGGGATAGGGAAAAACAAATCAAAAATATAATTACCGAAAAACCCTATTATGAGGGCAATTTTACAAAAATTAAGGACCTTCCTTCTTCAAAAGTT